GTTGAAAAGTCCAAGTACCAAGTCTCTGAGATATAAGGCAAACTCTTAGTTGTAAGCCCCTGTACAAATGAGAAATTAAAACACTTTTAACATTTAATGGCACAAAATGAGCATTTTTATTTTAAATTACAAATAGGGGAATACAAAGGAATGAAACCAAAGCAAGTCCAAAATTGCGTAGGGCAAACATTAAGTCCTGTAATTTTATGTCTAGCATCTGAAGGAATCTGAAGCACATTGTGAGCTCCAAAAGGCTTGCGTGACTCCACCCCTATGGCACTTTTGGTGGTTACAGCTCTCACACCTTTTTTCTTAGGCCTGCTTTGCTCTCTCCTTGTAGCTTTTTTTTTTAAACAATCTGTGTCATGGGCTTTTTTAAACATCTGGGGTTTCCACTGCATGTTTGGCTTTTTACTCACAGCTTTATAAAGTATCCTCTCAGGGGCACATTGCCTCGCCTCCCAGGCCTTTTGAAACCAAGATGGAAGCCTTTTTAACCTCAGAACTCTTGCATTTTGCATGCACCTAAAACCACCACCACATGGATGATGTCAAGGTCTGCTGCCAGGTGGAGCAGTAGCCAGGCTTTTTTTTTTCTGGCAGTAGGGATCAAGTGCCTGAATCACTGAGCACTCTCAACATGATTTTGAGGAACAAGTTTTTTATGCTGCTACCATTTTGGAACCTGGTGTGGCTGCTGCTGTCATTTTGGAACGTGGCACTCTGCAGCTTTTTTTTTTTTTTTTAAAGCAAAGTCTTTTTACCTTTGCAGTTTTGAGGCTGCAAAGGGTGATTTGCTGGGTTTTTTATGCCCTCAGGCTGTCTTTTTCATTTTTCTGTTACTCCTCAACAATCAAGGTCTCTTTTGCCCTATCTTTATATTTTATAACTTTACTGGAGCTTTTTTTTTTTTTTTTTTTTTTTTTTTTTGCCAAACTCACATTTTAAATCATCCTGCTGGGCTCTTTGCCCTTGATTTTTAACATAAATCTGGCTAAAAGCTCCCAACAATAGCCATGCCACATCCTCAACGTTTAACTGCCTTGAATATTTTTTTTTGTAAGGTTAATCAGTCTGCCACCCTTAATCTCAGGCAATGTCTCTGGACACAAGCAAAATGCAGACAAATTTTTTTTTGCCAAGCCACAACACACATCATCTGGAGTTCAGCACCTAATGTAGTCTTTCCCAGCAGAAACCTCTACAGCCTGGTCTTTACTGGCAGGATTTTTATCAGCCTTTTGGTCTTTTGTGCTCTGACTAGAGTCTCTCATACAGAACAGCCAAAGGTGTTCTAGTGCTTTTTTCTAGGTGAAATCTCTGAACATTTTAAAACTCTTTTTATAAGCCTTTCTCAAAGGCTTTTGAACCGCATGGTCAGATATAGTCACAGCAGCAAACTCACTCTGGGTAGTAACTCTGTCTTGGTTACTTTTGTTGTTGTTGTTGCTGAGACAAAATACCCAATGCCCAAAATTAAGGAAGGAAAGGTTTATTTCGCTCATAGCTTGTGGAGGTTTTAGTCTATAATCAGCTGGCTCTGAGGCAGGGTGGCATGGCACAGAGGTAACACTTTAAGGTAGCACAAGACAGCAAAATCAGCAAGAGCAGAAAGGGGGGAAGCAAGCCTCTGCTCCCTCCTTATATTGTGTATCACTATCTCCCCATGCCCACACCATCTCTGTGTCCTCCTCTTCCATAAGCTGAGGATGTTTACAAAGTAAGAACCTTGTCTCCCTGCTGAATCACTTTAAAGGTTAAAGTTGAACTTTTAAACTTTACAAGTTGACACAATGAACAACATCCTACAGTAGCAAAAGCATGTCTTTTTTACCCCATAATGTTTAACTGCTGAGTTATTTAGTTAAGCTTTTAGACTCCTCAAATTGACACAATGTATCAACCATAACAATGGTGCTTATTTAATTGTGGGAATTATGTAAGATAAGTAAATGCTTACAAATCCCTTGCTATTATAAAAATTATCATAATTTTTATTATACATTTATAGACACATAAAATATGACAAGTACTGTATATTGGGAATATTCTTAACTATTTGTATATAATTGTTTTATATGTATTGTTCTTAATCTATTTTGCTGTATATCTTATGATATTTGGATAACAAAATCTATGGCTGAATATATATTGACAAATCACATTCAAGTTATAAAAGCTCTTAATTACATAATGAAAGCATATCAATATATAAGCATTTTAGTTATAAAATCATAATATGTTAACATTTATTGACCACATATTACCTATGTTAATGTTTTACATGTATGATCCTATATCCTTACCATTAATTTGTAGGGTGTGTAATAATATGTTTATTCTGTACATATGGAAACTGAGGTTCAGTGTAAATAAATCTTTCTCAAGATTATATGGTCAATAATTGCCAGATCCAGTATTCAAACTCTGGTCCTTTTGACTAGAATCCATAAACTTAATCACTAAACTAAGTTTTCTATAGAACTCATTTGTCTGTGTGTGTATCTTGAAAAAGGCTAAACTAAACATTATTCTATTGAACAAATGGAAAGCTGTAATTTTACCTCTAGGTATCTAATGGCAAAGATATTAGCTAATATTCTTGGTGGAAATTTTTTTACTTATAATAATTGATAAGTTTCTTTTTTATGGCAAGTCAATAGTTTTTCTGGGAAATCCTAGAAATTGCCAAACAAAATACATTTAAAAAGCACATACATCATTTAACCTCACAAAGTCACCTTTGGGCATGACATTGCAAGTGCTATTTAGTCTGAAGCCTTTCAGAACTGTGTAGATTACTTGCTTCTACTCCAAGTATCTTCTACGATCATAACAGCAACTAATACTCACTGAGGACTTACTGTATGCCAGAATTGCTCTAAACATGTATTCTTTCTCTCTGGGTAGCAGGAATATATACATATAGTGTTGAGACTGTAGCTTTAGAAACTTATACATGACATTCATTCCCATATGCCAACTCAGTCTAAAATGATAATGCAAAAAGTTTCCTTTTGCTTACTATGATACAAAAGACTAAAGACTTCTCCAAAAGTAAAAAGCAAGTTTATGCTTAGTTCAAATTTATTCAAAAATGACTTTCTGTAATTAATAATCTGGCTTTTTACTATTAGGCAATTACCAACAGTAACCAGAGTACTTCTGGTTCTGAAATCGTACTGCTAACAGATGGGGAAGACAGTGGGATAAGCTCATGCTTTGAGGAGGTCAAACAAAGTGGTGCAATCATCCACACCATTGCTCTAGGACCTTCTGCTGCCAAAGAACTGGAGACCCTGTCAAATATGACAGGTAAAAAACTTTGGAAAGAGTTTTGATAGAAAATAAATTTCTAGTCTCTCCCATTCCAAGTGCTGTTTCTCCATAAACTATAAAACTGCTTAAATATTTCCCATGTAAAATTAATATTTGTCCTTTATTTGTCTTTCAAATTAGTTTCTCTTCTCTCTCTACTTCTTCATGTACCAACTTCTCAAGTTATTCAGTATTTTCTATCTTCATTCACTGCTAATCTACTTTTTGCCGATACAACTAAACAAAATTCCCTGTGGTAACTCACCAAGTTCAAAATTATTGCTTAATTACAAAATATGATTCAATCCTACAGTGAGGACTTAGACATCTGTTTTATAGATGAGGAAATGTAAACCTAGAGTCTACAAATATTTTGCTCAAAGCCATAGTTAAGAGTTTTGAAAACCAATTCAGACCTCTTCCCATCATCCCACTCTGCTCCCATGCTCCTACAATGTTCTTACCAGCCTTCACAGCCCCTGCCTGGGCTACTTCAATAGTCTTCCAAGTGGCCTTGCTGCCATTTATTAGTTCAGACTAATAGATAATTAATCTATAATTATCTATTATATTCTATTCTTTCCTAATCTATTCTTTTCCCAATCTATTCTTTCCTAACTCTTCACAACCAAATAAACTCTCTATGCCTTAACTCCTGTATTATTTTGTACAATTAATCAATTTTTGCTTTATTCTAAACTACCATTCTCTAATTGTCTTAGCATGTTTTTGACCCAACTAGAAAATAAGCTGTTGATTCATAAGAACTATCTTAAATTCACTTGTACATTATTTAGGGCTTAGTGCTACTAACTGGCACACACTTAACATTTGATGATTGATATAAAAACAATAAAACTTGATCTATTATTTAAATGTTCCTTTATTCTTATTTATCCTACTTGTTTTCAGCAATGTTTTAGTTATTGTGGGATTAGTTAAGACACTGATGCACTGAAAGTTCATGAAATTTTTAGAAATTCATCTTTTAAATTTAAAAAGAATTTAAAGTATATTAATTACTTCAAAAATATGATTTTTCCATTTACTTCATTTTAGGAGGACATCGTTTTTTTGCCTATAAAGACATAAATGGGCTTATTGATGCTTTCAGCAGAATTTCATCTAGAAGTGGAAGCATTGCTCAGCAGCCTCTTCAGGTGAGTAGTGTTAGACAATTCCTTGCTTCCTCACAGTTGTAATAAATTTCTATTATCCAAATTATTAACCTTTCTTTCTATAATAAATATTTTGCCTAAAAATATTTCAGGTGTGCAGAATAAAAACACCTTTACTCAACTTCCTTTTCTGTGACACTTACCACCACCTTTTCTTTTGTATTCTCTTATTCTTTAAAATTATACATATTATTTGGAAAATCCTTTAATTCTTACTTTAATTGAAATCTTAAATTTAAAATTACTCTGAACTAACTAAACTTTGAAATCCCATTGCATATAATAATAAGTGTATTTTATGTGTTTTTATTTGTAATAGTTGGAAAGTAAAGCTTTGAACGTTATAAGAAATGAATGGGTAAATGGTACAGTGCCTGTGGATAGTACAGTTGGAAATGATACTTTTTTTGTTGTCACCTGGACAATAAAAAAGCCAGAGATTATTCTTCGGGATCCAAGAGGAAAAATATATGAAACCTTTGACTTCAAAGAAGATAAGCTAAATATTCAGTCTGCCCGTCTTCTAATACCAGGCATTGCAGAGGTAGATCTAGTCTTTTATTTTCACCATGTTTTATTAGTCAGTTCCTATATTAAAAAATAAAAACATCTTATACACTGTCAGTGTTAAAATAGCAACAGATCATCTGTCATAAAACAAAAGTCAAATAAAGTACTAAAAGCATACTATTTACTAGTTTGTAAAATCAAATATTAAAAATCATCATTATTCTGTTAAATTTATGAATAATTTTATATTCCAAATTTAAGGTAGGAAAATATTACAAAAGCTCTTACAGAGATTTTTTTTTTAATTTTCAGACAGGCAGTTGGACTTACAGCCTTCATAATAAGTACGTCAACTCTCAATTGCTAACAGTGACAGTGACAACTCGAGCAAGAAGTCCCACCACACTCCCAGTAATTGCAACTGCTCACATGAGTCAAAACACAGCACATTACCCTAGTCCCATGATTGTCTATGCACGAGTCAGTCAAGGGTTTTTGCCTGTTCTTGGAGTCAATGTAACAGCTATTATAGAAAATGAAGGTGGAAATCAAGTAACACTGGAACTTTGGGACAATGGAGTAGGTAATAAGAATCTTAAATCCTCCCACAGGATTCCATGATTTAGAAGTGAATATTTTCATATGTGTTTATTAATCATATTTTAAAGTAAATTACATTTAAATGTAATGTTTTTAAAACTTTCACTTAGTTATCTTGACAAAGCACAGACATAAGAACAACTCTCTTCCTTAAATGTCATGAACAATTTTACTTTCTCCATGAAACGTTTTTTTGTTGATTTTAGTTTTGTCTGAAGTACTGAAGATTGAATTTAGGGCCTTCACACTGAGGTACTAGCCTGGCCTTTTTAAAATATTTATTTTGAGGCCAGGATATCACTAAATTGCTAAATTGCCCAAGCTGGGCTTGAACTTTCAGTCCTCCCTTCTCAACCTGCAGAAGGCTGGAATTACAGTCATGTGTCCCTCATATCTGGCTAAGGATGTTAAGAATACAATTTTCCCCATTTTCATTTGCGTTTGTGATTCACATGTGCTTCCTCCAGCTAGTAAATTTTCCATATTTTGATAAACATCTTTTAAGAAATGATAATACCACTATTATTAATTAAATGCCTACCATGAATCAGACTTTGAACCAAAATAGTAGCACCCCAAAGTTCATGTACTTAAAACACTGTGCTATACTTTCCAAATTGCTGACATCACCGTTACTAGATGACTAATTATTACATTTCAATATCTAGGTGCTGATACTGTCAAAAATGATGGCATTTATTCAAGATATTTTACAGATTACAATGGAAATGGTAGATACAGCTTAAAAGTTCATGCCCAGGCAAGAAAAAACATAGCTAGACTAAGTTTAAAACATCGGAATAAGGCTCTGTATACACCTGGCTATGTTGAAAACGGTAAGTAGCACTGAAACAGAAATCATAACCTATTAGGTAAATTGCATATGGCACACTGAAAATATAATGTACTACAGAGAATACAAGTATATCATCTGTATTTTTCAAACTCGCATTCATATTAGTGGACCTAGTCTGTGTTTCCATGTTTTGTTCACATCCCCTTGGTTCATTTCACTTACAATGAAATAAAAACTTACTGGTCATCTCCTATGTGGCCAACGTTGTGCCAGAAGCAGGGGCTACAAGGTAAATAAGGCACAATCCCTGTCCTCAAAGAATTTATAGTCAAGTATTGTACAAAGATAAATTAAAGGAGTTTTAACATAGCATAATGTCTCCTTGCCATTTTAAAATATTAAAATGCTTTTTTTCATTAAAAGCTTCACTTTTTTAATGTTTGCCATCAGCACTAATATTTTACAGCTGCAAGATCACCTTACAAGATAAGGAATAAGCACAGCAATAGGAAAAGTTACAATATTACTCTTTGTTTGTTTGTTTGTCTGTTTGTTTGTTAGGCAAAATTATACTGAACCCACCCAGACCTGAAGTCGCAGAAGATGTAGCAGAAGCTAAAGTGGGTGATTTCAGCAGACTAACCTCTGGAGGCTCATTTACTGTGTCAGGAGCGCCTCCTAATGGTAATCAGACTCCTGTGTTCCCGCCTGGTACAATTGCAGACCTTGAGGCTAAGTTTAAAGGAGATCTTATTCAACTCTCATGGACTGCCTCTGGCAATGTCCTTGATAAAGGAAAAGGTAAGTTTGATGTTAAGTTTTAAAATATGCTATGAGAAATCCCATTGGCTTTTGTTTGCCAGCAATTTCCATTGTCTCATTTATAAATAACATTTATAAGTGTCTACAATACATCATTATACATTTATTTTAAAATGTGAAAACTGAAGCGCCAAGAGATAATGAACAGGTCCAAGTTATTTTTATGTTTAGTAATAGAACTGTGACCCAGCCTTGTGCATTAGATTCTACTGTGCCAGAGTGCCTCTCACAATTTGAGCCATCTTAAAATTACTTTGAGAAGACTGAATTAATAGTTTTCTGTTACATCCTTTTCTCCCTAACAAAGGAAATTTTTTTCAAAGTATGTCTGTACTTGCACAATTTTATTCATTTATTGGTGTTTTGTTGAATTTTCAAACACTATTAGGTCCCTAGAGACAGGCTTTACTTTCAAAAATTAGTTGGGTAGAGAAGACACCCAAATAGATAATTTCATAAAATGTAAGAGACAGGCTGCTGTAGATACAATAAGCAGGCCACAAACCTCGTTGAAAGTTAAGATCATGGGGCATATCCTAAAAGGCTTCCTAGCAGAGAGTATTCTTTACCTTGATCTTGAAGAATGACAGTAGTTAGTCAAGTTAAGTAAAGATGTCCCACAGAGAGAAGTTCATGTGCAGAGAAGCTCACTAGGTTGGAGAATTTGGCCATGGGGCTAAAAGAAAGTTCAAGATCAATGTATTTCATTTATCCAAAGTTTCTAATAACAAATTTTTAAAAGTTTAAACCACTTTCATCTTTAAATATAACTACATTTAATCACTCTTTATTGAATACCAGCACATTCCAGTATTGTGTAGACTAGTAGATTCTTATGGGATAAAACCAATCTCGCTGTTTCCTTGTATGTGGGACAATGAAAGTAATAATAGTAATAATGATAACAATAATATATAATAATACAAATTTATATATCTGTCAAGGATTTCCAGTGCTGAAACACGACACACATCACAGATTACACAAACCTCTTACTGTACATTTTCAAAACAGAAGATACTTTTTAATCTTTCATTCACCATAGAGCATTTTCAAAGCTGTATTTCTTTCTATCTTTATTATACACAGAAAAAAATCTTTCAGCAGCCTTGGAAACATAGAGTAACCACAAGCAAATCTTTTGAACTTCAGTGTAGATGGCTTATTGTGACCACTTCTGAAAAACATTATTTTCTTATGGTATGATTTTTAAACATGGCACAATCAAATAAAATGAAAAACAGCGATACTAACACAGAAAAAGGCACAAATGAACCTACCTCACTAAACATTAGTTATAAATTCAGTTCATTGCAGACCAACCCATCAGTGCAAGGTTGGGTTCATAATAAATATATTCTTCATGCTGAGTATAGGATTTGACAGTAGGAGCAATGTATTACTTAATGGACACTGAGAAAGTGCTTCACCATGTATGCTTAACCATAAATGCCTAAACTGTCATGATATAATCACCCTTTTCTGTGACAAATAGGAAGAGGTAATGGTAGCTGAAATGTTACCTTCATACATTACAAAAGTCCAGGGGCAGCATTCTCTTAACGAATAAATGAAAATCTATATAAACTTGAATGAAATACTTTAACTCACTAAGATATAATTTTCATAACTGTCAAATGTGCAAATTAGACAAGACCTAGAATTACTAAAACAAAATATATAATCCCAATATTTTGTGATTCTCTAACTTCATCATTTTGATTATCAACTTTATTGTTGGCCAACAAGTAATTAAGGAGATAAAGTACATGCCCAACAGAGGATCCAAATGATATAAAAGTATTATAGAAAAAATTGTCTCTACCCTCAAGAGTTATAGGATGACATCAGAATGGAAAAATGAATTTCCACAAAGCAACCTGAAAAGCTACATGACATGCAATAGGAGTTCATGGAAGAGAGTCATTAGGGTGATTAGGACAAAATTCTGAAGTCTTGACCAAGACTTCGTGAGAAATCAGGCCTTGGCGAGGCATGGAAGAATGCATAAAAGTTGCATAGGTAGAGATAAGGAAGCACATCACAGGAACCAAAAACCATGATCCAGGTCAAGAAAGCAAAACTTCACAATGGAATATTTAAATTAAAGTAAGAGATTGATAGCTCTGTTGATCTACCTACATGGGGCACAGGATCGGAGTGAAGGATGGTAAGATGGATGAAATGTATACATAGATAAACTAAATATTAAGCAGAATCCCCAAATTTTTAAAAATTGCTAAATCAAAGTTATTTACCACACACATGAAATATCTTGAATATTTCCTGAAAACTTGAAAAACAAAGACCTCATATCAGAAAAAAGACATTAGATTGTTTTTATTCTCACAGTTTAGAATGTAAGAAGACATTTTTATATCAATGACTCTGGTCGATTTCAAAAAGTAGTGTAGAATGAAATATATGTGAACTTACTTTTTTCCTTTCTTAATAAAATAATAGATGTGATAACTAACATGTCATACACTACTTATTAATTCATGCAAAATAGTTTTAATACATTATCCTGTACAGAGCTCCCCACTAGAGTAGTAAAGAAATTGAATGACTGAATATTTTATAGATTAAAAGAAGATGGACATAAGAGAAGTTAAATAAATTTTTGTTGCACAGCTAAAGAGTAATATAATTAGCAGGTTAATCAAGGTCTGCCTAGCTCCTGAGCACATATTTAATTAGTACACACTGCAGCCTCTGCCTTCCACTGCTTTTTATCCTTCACCTCTCTCTTACTTGCCCTTCTGTTACTCCCTTTCAATTTAATAAGAAACAATACAGAGGTAATGTACTAAATGTCATTATTGTCTTGGAATATCTTTGTATTCTTTGTTCCAAATTAAAAAGTGGATTCAGCTCTTTATATTTCTCTTTTTTAATAAAGAAATCTAGCTAAAACAAGTACTATATAATATGAATTAAATTTTTCTGTGATTATATAACTATATAAAAAGCTGTTATGTGTGTTCTTAAAGTAAAGTAAATGGGGTAACCATACAAAAACTATAGCCTGGATTTCCATAACTAAACTCTGGTGTGCATTTCTGATTGTCCCTGTACATGAGGCAGTGTGGTGGCAATAAAGTATCCCAATCAACGTTTTTAATGTACATGAACTATCTATTTGTTTTCCAGCCAATAGTTATATTATAAGAATAAGTAAATGTTTCCTGGATCTCCAAAAAGACTTTCACAACGCCACTTTAGTGAATACCTCTAATTTGATACCTAAAGAGGCTGGCTCCACAGAACATTTTGAATTTAAACCAGAATCCTTTAAGATAGAAAATGGCACCCAGATCTATGTTGCAATTCAAACTGTCACTGAAGCCAATGTCACCTCAGAAGTTTCTAACATCGCACAGGCGACCAAGTTTATTCTTCCACAACAATCCAGTGCTCCTGCTCTGTGTACCAGCACATCTGCTCTCAGCTTGACAGTTTTTGGATTCGCTGTGATTTTGTCTTTATTTTAAATGAAAAATTGTATTAGAACTGAAATTCTATGTTTTACAAACTTTCTAAACATGTATTTGGTATTAATTTACTATACTCACTATCTACTATAAAATGCTTTGTAATTTAAAAGTGATTTCCTAATTATTTCAATTTTTAAAAATTTAGTTGCTAGCCAGGCATGGTGGCACATGCCTGTAATCCCACCACTTCAAAGGCTGAGGCAGGGGGATCGTTGTGAGTTCAAGACGAGCATAGGTTACAAAGTGAGCTCAAGGCAAGCCTTGAACTGCATAGTGAGACCCTTCCCCCCCCCCCAAAAAAAAATGGGGGCTGGGGATTTAGTTCAGCAGCAAAGTGCCTGCCTGGCAAGTGCAAGGTTGTGAGTTAAATTCCTGGTACTGGAAGAAAAACAAAAAAAAACAAAAAAAAACAAAAAAAAAGATTGAGTTGCTCAATGTAAATCAAAATGAATTTTCCTCTATTTGATTAACCCATTCATTAATTTTTAATATGAAAAAGGATATAAATTTGTATTTGTGGGCTTTTGAAGAAATATTTTCAGAGTATGCTACAAGCTCATTTGATATACTAAAATCATAATTTATACAAGCCTTTTGAAAATAAATGTACACAGAGCCAACAATTCTATAAGAAAATGTACTCCATGCTTGATTATGAATGAATGATTCATATTTACATAAACTATAATCAAAAAGTACTATAAGGTTAATTTTTCAATGAAAAGTGGCCTATAATGGTAATATCAAATATGTTTCTTATCATTTATTAAAAGTGTTCTACCAAAGTTTCATTCTTAGGCAAAAAAAAAACTGACAAGAATATTATTTTATGTAAATTATAGAACATGACAATGTCCTATTTTTATTCTGAGATTATATTAGGTCCTAAGAAGACTGTTACAATGCTACTTTTGTGACTACATCTAGTTTGATAGCTAAAGAGGCTGGCTTAATCATCCTAAAACTATTCCCAGGATGCTCCTTTAGGGCAGGCAATTTTTTTCTTTGCTGTATCCTTAGCATCTAGAACAGTACTTGATATGTAGTACATAGTCAATAAACATTTGATAAATATGTTAATGAATATGTTTATAAAGAAAACTGAATTTGACCCCATTACATCAAAGTACACATACAATATTATGTGCATATGATATTGTGAGAGTTGATATAATAAAAACTAAGCACTAATAACATTGATCTGAGCCAAAGTAAACCATCATAGAATCAATTACATATTACCCAATAGAATTCATAAGCTATCTAATAAAATACTTTGCTCTGCTTATTTTGATTAAGATTGGCTAAGAGTTTGTCTATTTTGTTTAATCTTTCAAAACATCAGTTCTTTGCATTCTTTTAGTCTCAATTTAATTAATTTCTCCTCTGTCATTCAAAATTTCCTTCCTCTTACTAGATTTGGGTTTGGATTGCTCTTGTTTTTTAACAACACTGAATTTCATCATTAGGTTATTTGAGGTTGCTCTATTTTTTTTGATGTGGGAATTGATTACTATAAACTTTCCTCTTGGGACTGCTTTCATTGTGTGCTATAGTTTCCAATACGTTGTACTGAAACTACTACTTGATTGTAAGAAATATCCACTTTCTTTTTTAATTTCATCTGTGACTTGTTGATTATTCAAGAGGGTATTATGTAATATCCATTTGTTTGCACAATTTCTATTATATAGTTTCATTGCACTACGATCTCATAATATACTTGGGATAATTTCAATTCTTTTATCTTTACTTAAGCATGCTTTATGACCTAGCATGTGGTTTATTTTGGGGAAAGTCTTATGTGCTACTGAGAAATGTATGCTATTGCTTTGGGATGAAACACCCATTTGTAGGTATCTATTAAGTCCGTTTACTTGAAGATTTGTTTCAATTCTGATATTTCATTCTGATACTTTGTCTAGTTGGTCTGTCCACTTGTGACAGTGAGGTACTGAGGTCACCCATTACAATTGTATTGGTGTTTGATTTATCATATCTATTACTATTTATTTTATGAAGTGGGGTGTGCCGGTATTTGGTGCATATATATATTTATAATTGTTATCTCTTCCTGTTGAATTATTCCCTTAACCAATATGTAGTAACCTTCTTTGTCTCTTCTGATCAGTCTTGGCTTGAAGTCTACTTTGCATGAAATTAGAATGATGACTCCTGTTTTTTTTCCAAGTTCCCATTACATGCAATATTGTTTTCCATCCTTTGATTTTTAATTTGTGAGTTTTTAAATTTTTTTCTACACTGCATATCATTGGGTTTAGTTTCTTGATCCATTCTGCCTATCCGTGTCTTGTAAATGGGGAACTGAAACCATTTACCTTAAGAGTTATTACTAAGAGATACTGACTTATTTATCATTGCATTATTTTCTAGTTGCTGATTTTCTCCCCAACCCTTTTGCTTAGATGTTCATCCCACCAGATCTGTTCATTCTTTTTGACGTATTGGCATTGTCAACTTCATTGTCTCTTTCTAGAATATCCTTGAGAAATGTTTGTAATGCTGGTTTGGTGGGCATGAGTTGCTTCTTGTCATGTAAATACCTTATTTCTCTATCAACTTTGAAGGAAAGTTTTACAGGATACATAAGTTGGAGTTGGAAGTTATCTTTTAGGAGTTTGAAACACTTTGCTCCAAGCACTCCTAGCCTTTAAGGGTTGTGTAGAGAAGTCCCTGTAATTTTAATGGATCTACCTTTACATGTGATTCATTACCTTTCTCCAACAGCTTTTAAGATATTGTCCCTCTGATGGGCTTCTATTATTTTGAGTATTTTGAGTATTCATTGCCTTCCTCCAACAGCTTTTAAAATATTGTCCCTCTGATGGACTTCTAATATTTTGAGCAGAAGGAGGTTTTCTTCTCCTCGTGGCTATTTGGGGTTCTATATGCCTCTCTTATCTGAATTTTTTTCCTTATATTTGGAGAATTTTCTACCATTATTTCTGTAAATGGGTGTTTTATGCTATCTTTGCTGTGTTTTGATTTTTCACTTATTCCAATTATTCTCAGATTTGTCTTTTCTGCATCATCTAGCAGCTGTTGGATCCATTTTTCATGTTACTTTGTTTTTAAGGTGTCTTTGAGTAGTTGGTCTTTGAAGACATTGTTTTCTAGTTCTGTTTTTTTTTTTCTGGTATTGGGAATCAAACTCACAACCTTGCGCTTGCCAGGCAAGCGCTGTGCCACTGAGCTAAACCCCCAGCCCCCTAGTTCTGATATTATGTCATCATATTGGCTGCTTCTGCTGCCTACAGTTTCAATATAATGTTTAATCTCCTGGATTTTTGAATGAAATCTTTTCATGGACTCTAATTCTTTGCTAAACTGGTTATTTATGTTTTATATCATTTTCTTTAGCTTCTCTGGCTTTTTATCAGTGTCTTCTGAAAGCTCCTGCATCTTTTTGGTTATTATTTCCACTATCTGTTCAGTTATATCTTCTCTTATTATCTCTTTGATCTTTTTGTAAACGCCTCTATTATTCTTTTGAGTAATTTGGATGTTTGGCTTATGCTGTTCAGCCCCTTGATGCACCCTGGATTGTCTTCCCATGTTTCTATTGTTTTGTTTGTTTTGTTTTGTACTAAGATGTGTATAGTCTATACACATCTTGTAATAAGATGTGTATAGTCTAAAGACTTTGTTGCTAATACAGAGATCTCTGTAGTTGCTCTTCAGTGACGTATTTTGGTGATGGCTAAATATGATCCTTTGCTGCAGGCCCAAGATCTGATGACCTTATTTAATTTGAGAGGGAAAGATGCAGTATAGTTGGCCCAATAATGAAGTTCTCTGAGAATGTACTCTACTATTGTTAATGTCACAAAGGTAATCTGAGTGTTGGCTTACAGGGAAATAACAATTATGCAATCCTGTTAATATCAAGCAAGCCAGCTACAGCATTACTGTCCAAGACAAATTGGATATTAACATACCATAAGGGCCAGGGATACAGCTCAGCAGCACAAGCACCTGCCTGGCAAGCATGAGGTCCTGAGTTCAATTCCTGGTTCCAAAAAAAAGAGAAAGGAAACATACCATAAGAAACAATTATGTACCACCCTTAATCCTGGAGAAGAAATCTACAATTATGGTATAAGCATTAAGAAAACACAGGTATTGACTTACAGCTAATATATACTAAATGTGACAGCTACATCTTTACTAAAGGTAGAAAAGAATTCAACAGTAATTGTACAGAGTTACCTATCAAAACATTCACAAAGCATTATGGTCATACTATTAAAGATATATGGTTTGGAAATGGGGGAGTGCAAAAGGAAATTCTGAAGCCTTAAATTATGATATAAGGAGAGAAAGATATGGTACAAAGGATCCTATTGGGGAGTAGAAGGGTGCTTTTAGAATTAAGTAAAGATAAAAACTATTGAGAAATACAGGGTAAAATAAAAAGAGGGAGAAAAAAGATTAAAGAGTAAACATAAGAGAAATTACAGGGAAAAAAATTAAAAGGGGAAAAGGAAAAAAAGAAAAAGATATTTTAAAAAAGTATGAAAGAGTTGCAAAAGAAAATTCTCTAAGCCTCAATAAACTGTTGCAGAAGGAGGAAAGACAAGAAAAAGAAAAAAACAAAAACATAAAAACAATGCACAAACAAAACAACACAACAAAAACTTCTCTGTGATTCCAAACATGTACTTCTCTCCCAAGATACCTAATTTTGGAGCAGTGTCCAACTTCAAGTGTGTCCCTATTCATGCTGGTAGATAAACTGGATAGTCAGATCCCAGATCTATGATGGATGCAGGTCCAAGCAGGTAGTAGGATTGGGATGAGGGTACCAGTTCTTCAACTTTCAAATTCAGAGCAATTCAGGGTGAATCTAGCCTCTGGCCATGAAGTATAAACTCCTCAGGGGTTTCTTGCCAACCTGATCACTGCTCTCTGAACACAGTGTCTTCCATGGCTGTCCCTTACCCAGTCACTGTGGCAACATAACACTTGGAGCTGTGAATTGAAGCCATCCTGCAGCTGCTCTGAGTCCCTTGTTTAGTCAGTGGCTTCCTGGAATGGCGTCCAAGCAAGCACTCTCTCCCTGGGGTGTGGCAGACACTTGGGCTGTATTCACTTACCAGGTATTGCAATTCACAGCACTTGCTGGCTAGTTCCACCCTAATTCTCCCTGAAGTACTCTGGAGTCCCTGCTTTCTCTTTGTCTCTATAGATTCAGTCTTCCTTTCTTGATAGCCATGAGTTGGGAGAAAGTGCAGATTGTCTCTTCCCTTTTCCGTGCTGTGTTCTGTCTTTTCAATTTCTCTGTAGGTGTCTTGGTTACTTTTCTCTCGTTGCTGGGACAAAATATCTGATGCCCAAAATTAAGGAAGGAAAGGTTTATTTCGCTTACAGTTTGTGGAGGTTTTAGTCCATACTTGGCAGGTTACAAGGCAGAGTGGCACATGGCAGAGGGCTACAGCTCATGGCGGCAGAACACAGCAAAAGCAACAAGCACACAAGGGAGGAATGGCCGCAAGCAGCCTCTTTCTCTCCCTTACATATGCAAACTATCCACCCCAGGGTGGGTGTAGCTCTCACATCCATAATCAATCAAACTCTAAAAGCCTGCCCCATGACAGCATGAGGCTTTGGGGGACACACAGACACAAACCATAACAGTAGGTTTTAATTTTACTGTCAGATCCTTCCTGCTTCCTAAGGATCTACCGCCCCCACCACTCCATTGTTATTTTCCAGTGTCTGGATTCCAAACCTCAGAGAGGCTAAATTATTGCTGCTTACCACTCCACCATTTTTGCAAAAGAAACATTTTTTTAAAGTCACTAAAAATGAATACTTTCTTTAAAAAGAAGCTATGAGACAACAAAAGAAATCAATCTATAAAAAATAAACAATAGCAGTCACAACAGAGTTTGCAGATTATGTATCTGTATACCATTCATGTAGTTTAAAAATATAAAATAGTATCATGTTCAGGTACATATTAATTTTAGTGAAACTAGAGGCATACAATAGAAATCAATCATACCAACTCCAGTGGTTAATTCTGAAGAAGGGGAAGATACTGTGTCAAAAAAAAAAAGTCTGCAGAGCTGATCCAGATTGAAGAGAATTGAGCAATATCCTACTTAGGTGCAGCATGTGCTCTTGGCTTGGATGCCTTGTTTTTCTTTTTTTTTTGTTTTTGTTTTTTTCCAGTACCGAGAATTGAACTCACAACTTTGCACTTGCCAGGCCGGTGCTGTGCCCCTGGGCTAAATCCCCAGCCCCAGCTTGGATGCCTTTGCTGTAAAGACTTTATTGGAACAGTTGACTGAAGCCCAAATAGGATTTCTAGACAAAGGATCGACAAAACATTTGCACAATTTTTATTTTTTGCTAAAATGAGATTATTTCAAAAAATTGTCAAAGAGAATGAGGATGAGAGATGTTTTAGAGAAGAAAATGTAAAAACTGTATCAACTGGAGGCAGTGAATAAAAGAAAATCAGAGGACTTGATTAAGTGATTTTGTGTTCATGTTTCAATTAACCAATACAGGAACCTCAGAAGAGCAATTCTGAGGAAAATCAAACTAGCTGGGCTCACCACTAGAAATTTTGACTATGAGAGTAAATAGGTGTTTGGAAATTAAGGTTAGGACTAAGGATGTCATAAAAGAACTTTAGAACCATAAACATCTTGATGTAATTATTCATTTAGCAACTTATCTGAAAAGCCACAATGTTGATAAGAATATAGAACCAACTGAAGTTCAAATCAACTGAAGGAGCTTCTAAACATCCCAGCGTGGATATAGCTCAGCAGCACAGCGTCTGCCTGGTAAGCTCAAGGGCATGGGTTTGATTTCCAGTACTAAAAAAAATATAAATAAAAAATAAAATAAACATCCCAGTGCCCAGCCACACTCTCTAGTTGGAATCCAGCCATCCAGTGATGTAGACTCTCCAGGTGGTGACAATGTCCAGCTCACATTAAAGGAACAGTGGCTCTACTGAGAGAACACCTGTGACTCCTCATTTTTAAAACATTTGACAATGATTAGGGAAGGAGTTTAGAGCACAGGAGATGGAAATAAGAAAACCTGGCTGAAGGAACTCCTTCCCAATACCTTAATGAGTTATACTTTCTCTCTAGGAAAGGTATAAAAGGTCAAGAATAGGGGAATAAGGTAGGCATCATAAGGAGAATGGTAAAAAAGATTATAGCTCTGGAAGGCTGCAAAAAAAGTGGTTTTTGTTTTTCAAATCTGGGAAAATTTAAACACTTGAGGAACAGAATCCAAGGTTCTTTCCCCTAATGGTGGACATGGTAGTATGACCCTTTTTTAAAGATGATGCCCATCTTTAAAAGGGTATAGCAAATGTACTTATTTTTAAACAGAGAGATCTGGAGGTTAAGTGCTCCTCCACATAAAGATCTAAAATAGACAAGTAGGGGCTGGGGATTTAGCTCAGCGGCAAAGCGCCTGCCTGGCAAGCGCAACGTCGTGAGTTCGGTTCCCGGTACCGGAGAAAAACCCAAAAAAATAAAATAAAATAAAATAAAATAGACAAGTGGAAAATAGGATTTCTGATGATACATTTCCTTTTCCATATTTCTGGGAACATCATCTAAGATGAAAGACATGGACTATTTCAGAGCTGGGAGATTTTGTGATGCTGGAGTTACTTTAGAAACGGGTGGCTGTTTTGTCACAAACAATAAAAGAACACAAACATTTTTATGTTATCTGCTTGTCTTTATAATGCTTTTACTGTACTTATCTTTCAAACTTTAACAACAGGTATTGCTTCTGTGACTGCTGTTCCAGTACTCAAGACTGAATGGGAGCCTATTTCATTGCCTTCTGGGCCTGCATTTTCCCAGGTCCATTTTATCAGTCAACGCTCACTAGAGAAATGGATTTTAGATAGATAGATAGATAGATAGATAGATAGATAGATAGATAGAAAGTAATCTTTACAAGATAGGCTTACAATGGCCACCTGCAGAGTCAGGTGTGAAAGAGTGCAAAGGGGTTGTGTGCTGGAGAGCTGAAGGATCCACTGAAAAGTTAAAGGCCTGGAGCTCACTGTAGAGCCCTATGCAAGCCAGTATTAGGAAGCTGAAGAGTCTATCCTGGAAAACTGAAGAGTCTGCGCTCAGAGCCAGAAGACGGACACTGCAGGCAATGGCGAAGACTGGAGTTCCTCTGAAGAAACAAAAGCAAGACTTCCTTCTTTTTTCCCTTTATATTCCACTCAGGCTACAAGCCTATTGGTTGGTGCTATCCACACCCAGCGTGGATCTTCTATCTTCAGTAAATTCATTCAGTCAGGCCCAAAACTATGCTAAACCCATCAGTGCGCGTCTTACTCAAATTGTAACAACAGCTAACTCTCACACCCATTGTAACAAAAGGGCACAGCCACACAAAATAGTTTTTCTTATTCTTTAAATACCAACCAGTCTCCTTTCATGTATGTGTATCTGTTTTAACTCCATTCCAGCCTAAGGTGTCAGGGAGCTTGCTTAAATTGTTACTTGGGATGATAAGCTTTAGAACAGATGTCAAATTTTATTTTCATGTATTACTAAAATTAGCCACGGTGAATTGTTAAGCGCTATGTTATCTCACTCACCATTCTATACTTCACTGTATCCCCAGCATCGGGCCCCACACTTTGTAGAGCAGGAACCCCTGGTGTTTATCTGCGGTTCGGTGTGCAAATGCTGCCGCAGTAAAGAAGTCAAAAAATTCTTGCGGCAGTAAACAATTCTAATTCTGCTGGGAGTGGAGAAGATCCCAAAGGCTGTCAAGTAATGGAGTTAAGAGTTTCCAGCTGGGTGCGGTGACACACGCCTGTAATTCCAGCACTCAGGAGACTAAGGCAGGTGAATGGAGGCCAGTCCCGGCTACAACAGTGAATTCAAAGCCGGCCTGATCTACATCGTGGAACCCTGTCTCAAGAAAGATTTTTTCAAAAATTTTAAAATTTGACATCTCCAGCAGGCTCCGCG